CTTTTCATAAAACCAAAACCACGAATGTCTGCAAGCTAAGAATTTTCGTCTCGGAACTTCAGGACTCGGAGCTTTCTCAGTTTTCAGAGCCAAACTTCCGACAATATTTAAAGACGTTTACCTATGCATCTCCAGAAAGTTAAGAATAATTTTCTCCTGGTAAGTAAGGTCCCTTCTCACAGATCCCGTCACGAATATTTCATCTCACGAAGACTCTTGAGCGTAAAAAAATGGAGATCGCTTCGGCTCATATCGTCACCCTTCGGCCAAAAAATCACCGGCGCCATGCGACGTTTAAAAATTTCCGCCGACATGTTATTTTTTTCACAAAAAATTTTTCAACGAAGCTGTCCGAAAATTTCACTGAATTTTTTTTTGTGCTGCCGATAAGATTCAGTGAAATTTTCAAACAGATTTAATCAAAAATTTCTCTGTAAAAAAATAAAAGGCGTCGGAAAGTTTGAAAAGTCGCATGGCGCTTGTGATAGGCACTTCGGCCAGTAGGTGACGATATGAGGGAATTGTTGCCAACTTTTAACAGCTACCACCGACCCGCGTACTTAAATCGTCGATGTGTTTTGATCCTGAATCTTCAATTCTATCCGCTTGTGCGAGGTGATTAATGGACAAAGTAAGTTTTTAATTGAAGCATTCATCAGCTGGAAGTTCAAGGTTTGCCAAGCTCACTGCTCGCAGTTGAGCCCATCTTGTTGGCTGTGGCTACTCGCGTAATTGAATCGAAAAATGCAGAAAGATAACATGCTCATTTTCTGATGCGCCTCTAAGTCTACCAGTTAACTCACCGACCAGGGCTCATCACGAATCGGGTAAGCAACATTTCTGTATCCAACGATTCAATCGTCATTTTTCTCATAAACTCTACTCAGACGTCCCTCCACTCAGACTGGTCTCATCTTAAAGCCAATGGGTGATGTCAGAATGGGAGGAAGGGGCCCACCTGTCTTCTATTTAATTCAACCTGCATCGTGGATGAACTTGCCAAACGCCAAGAGCGCTGCGAAAAAACGGTACACGCGCTTGAACCTATTTGTAGTCAAATCTTCCATCAAATGAACCATCTTTAAATCTAAAACATATGGAAGGTATAAGTCCGCAATCACGTTTATCGGTTTGCGACGTTGTAGACTTCCCATCAGACTTTATTTTTGAAATGGAAAAATACTCAAAGGTAATTCTTAAAAACTGTCACGATTTTTCTTCTATGTACGAAAAATATTCTGCGAAAACTTCAAGGAACGACGTCGATTTGTTCTCCATTGAAAAAATAAAAAGGAACGGAGATTTTTTAACACCGCAGACGAGATACGTGGTTGCAGACTACACCGTCGATATGTATGTCCAACATGGAGCTCACGATTTAACGATCGGCCAACTCAGTCAGTCTAAAAAACGAAGCCGTTTTCTTTCCTACTCAAAGAGACTTCGTTTTGGCATGCTTCTAATGGAAATTAAATTCCGCACTAAAATTATGAATATTGTTGGTAAAACTACCAGAGCACGTATCTCGGTTTGCGACGTTACAGACTTCCTGTCCCATTTTATTTTTTGAATGATATTGATTTGTTCCATTTATAAGTTCCACTTAAAAAAAGTGCGATGGGAGTGGAGAATTTTTAAACACCATAAACGAGAAACGTGGTCTGGCAGCTTCACCGTCTATATTTGCTTTCAGTGATGGAAAATGCCCACTCTTGCGTCCGCTCAAAGAACCTTTATCAAAGGCGGATCTAGCAATTTGGCAACACCGGATTCCATTTAAACCTATCTGAATAATCGATTCTTGTCGAAGCAACTGGCCCCTCCAAGAATCGATACATTTCCAAAGTTTTAAATGGAGAAAAATAATGTTGCCAATTTGCTGGCTCCAACAATGACCTTTATTAATCTGCCAAAACTTTCCTTTTATTATTGATGAAGAAGGTAAGCAAAGTATGAATGACTACTCAGGTGAAAATTGCAAACAAACGTCAATGATTTGTCAATTCATGGGTAAACAACTTAGATACTCGCAGTTTCCCTGTTTACCATCTTTCTTATGGCAGCCATTTTAAAAAACTAGGGCTTTTTCGAAAAATTAATGTTAAATTCGGTTTTTTTGCGCCCACACGTTTGCCCTGTAATGAATCTAGACCAGCTACCATTCTGTCAAATACGTAAATAGTGACCTGCAGTTTGCGCCAAAAAGTGTCTGTTTTCATCCTCTCTCGATTGAGGAGTCGCAATAAGCGGAGGGGGTCAGTCATTTGTAAAAAAAAAAATAGGGGTCCGCTGCTCTCTCTATGGGGAGCCGGGAGCCCCCAAACATTTTGGGTGCCTTGAAAGTAGCTTACATTTTCCCATAAATACTCCCTAAGTTTCATTTCAAAACAAGAATGAAGTAAAATTTTGGAGGGAGTGAACCGGACGTTTGAGACACCCTGTATGAGTCATAACAAATTAGCCCGCTGGTTTTTCATTTAGGGTTGATTTTAGAAATCACCGACGGTTCGACGCGACGTGCCCATCATGCTCTGCGTCAAATTTTGATGATAGAACATGAGTCGTGGTATTTTTCCTTGTCCCGGGTCAGTGCTGGCATTCTAAGGAAAAACGTCGTATGAACATTCGAGCGTTGCCAAATTTCCCTTGATAAAACATGTATTTTTGACAACATTCGTCCATATTTTCCCTTGAAATTGTCTTATATTTTTTAGATTTAATTGCGTAAAAAATTGTATGAAACTGTTTGAAAATAATTTTCACGATTTCTCCAGTAAATTCTTTTTTATCGGAGGAAACTTGGCAACGTGTGAGGCTCATACAGCGTTTTTCCTTAGCACGGCAGAGAAAATCCCTTTGAGATATAGCAATATTTAAAAGCTGTACATACAGAACAGCACTTAATAAATATATTAAATTAATAGACGAAAAGAAGATATTTAACGGGTATTAGCAATAGAGAAGGAGAGGTAGAATAATATGTACATAAAATAATATAATTAGTAATATTTAAGTGCTGTACATACAAAACAGCACTTAAATATATTGAATTAATAGATGAGAAGAAGATATTTAACAGTTTTTAGCAATAGAGAAGGAGAGGTAGAATAATACATATTAATCATTGGCATTAGAGAGGGAGGGCTTCCCTCAGAAGCATCACCTATTGTTATACCCGCGCGTTTAAGTCTCCGAACAAAGTCCAGTGCCAATCTTCGAGTTCTCAATTTAAGAAAAGTTCACGAAGGTCGGATCGGGATGTGGGTCATTCGTGGGGGGAGGGGGGAGGGGTAGTCGATGCGTCTGTTTATCTCCCGTCCGAAATGCTATCGAGTTCTATTTAATCAATTCATTTCTATCGATAAGTTTCAATCCGACGAGACGCGCGAGGCGCGACGACCGACGCGACGCAACGTAACGATCAGTCTAAAACGGCGTTGATTAGGAAGACAGCTATTTTAAATCACTTTTTCCTTGATACCGCGCACGCCTGAGACGTAACGCTTCGAGATTTTATCGAGTTCATAGAGAGTGAAATTATGAGGCTAAAAATGGACCACGTTAAGCAGAAAGGAACCTAGCCACATCAGCTACACAGAATAAATTGATTACTGATTTAACAATGAAATTGTTGAAAAGTATGTCCGACGTGTTTCAAATGCACATTTTACGATAGTGCAAATCTAATTCAACCACGGGGGTGGTTAAATTAGCATATTTTAAGGAAATTTGTCTCAGAGGAAATTTGTCAACTCTTGAATGTTTATACGGCGTTTATCCTCAGCACGGCCGTGCAGGCTTTGTTTCATTGTCGAACTTTCAGACAAAACACGTTGAACGTAAAGCAAACTTCTAAAATTAACTTATGAGCGAGGAATTGCAATTTTCATTAATTAACATGATTAACGGCAAATTCAAACTTCCCGCTCACCGAAAACCTTAATCAGCTTAGGTCAAACATTCGCCATTTAAACAACAAATATTTTTAGACCCTGACAAATAATTGGAGCTTTCTTTTACACGATTTTCCTTCTCTACTGATAAGAAGTTCGTCTAATCTTGTCAAGAGCAAATCACGTCCTAAAGGAGAATTGAGGGGCTTGGAGAACAAGGCGCATAAGCGTAGATTTTGCTATTTCGAGAAAAGCGTGTCTAAAGTTTCTAAATTACGTGAAGCCGTATGGGGGAAAGCAAGTTCAAATTCACATATCGATGCTTGAAAATTGGATTTGATCAGTGAATTTTTCATAGAATTTATTTCAAACCTAGATTTAGTTGAAATCACTAATATCTCAATTTTTTTCGAAAACTGCCCTTAAGCGCCTTGTCCTCCAAGCCCCTCAATTCTACCATTGTAAAGCACACTTAATTATTTGAACCCTGAATTTCACTCGAAAAGAATTTGATTTCTCGCGACCCAGAAGTGTCAATTGGATTGCATTTTGCAAAAAGGAACCACAAGCATTCCAGTGCTGCTAGGATTGTGCAGCTTACAAGCTCTGCAAATAAATACTGAAATAATGTAAACATTTACATTTAAAAATTTAATTTTCGGCTTAATTCATAGTAAATTGGGAGTAAAGATTAAACTTGTTTAGATTATCAGTTTATATTTGCAAGGTAAACAAAGTTGCACAATCTTAGCAACATTGGAATGCTAGTGGTTCCTTTTTGCAAAATGCAATCCAATTGACGTACGCACAAAAACAGTATTTTTTCCTCTATGAGATCAATGTGAAAAATTTCAATTCGTCCATAGTATTTTTCATAAAATGTTGATAAGGGAGCATGCGCTTAAATTTTGCAGTTTTCCCAGAGTTCCATCAGGGATCAAGTTGTTCACTGATTGTCTCACTAGTCTCATAAACAAGCGACTGGCTTGAAAGACCTGACCTACACCTGACAATTGTCACCTGATCAAGTCGGTGGTGGGGGTGAATGTCATTGAGACGGAAAGTTTCAAGAGCGGCTAGGGAGTCAGAGCGAAAATGCTTACTAACCTTACTATCTGATGAGCGATGCGGTGTGCTGGCAAATGATACAGGACCGGCTCACACGGCAGTGCGATCGAAAATTGCCGCTGAACGAGCTTCGATAGGTCGCGTAGCGATGGATCGAGTTACCTTCGATTTGACATCATGAAGCTGGATCAGTTCTGCCGCGTTGTTGCTGCTGCCAGAAAAAGCATTGTGGACCAAAGTTTCAAAGATAGAATTTTATTTGTAAGTTCATGTGCTAAACCCAAGTAGCAGTGATCGCTTTAAGTTGCGATTTGATCGGAGAACGTATCACGATTCTATCGAAGTCGATTTATTGCGATAGGACAGGATAGTACTCAGTAGTAATTGCGATAAATTGCAAGTCTATCGCATAAATTTGCGATAAAATCGCGATTTTATCGATGGCGATTAATCGCGATATTATCGAATAAAAAATCTTGATCTTACGTGAAATTTCTATTGCATCTAACGCGATTTTACAGAGGTAAAATCGCGACAAGATCGAGGACAATCGTTCACATGTTGATGATCCTAGCGATTTCATCGCCAAAAAATCGTTAAAAAATCGCAACTTATTTCATATTATCGCGATTTTTTCGTTGAAAAATGCTACTTGGGAGGGACCGTATTTATAATCGCTCCTTGATCAGCTTCTTTCAAAGGCGGATCCAGCAATTTGGCAACATCGGATTCCCTCCATTTAAACCTATGTAAAATAATCGATTCTTGTCGGAGCACCTGGCCTCTCCAAGAATCGATACACTTCCATAGGTTTAAATGAAGAAAAACAATGTTGCCAATTTGCTTGATCCGCCAATGGCTTCTTTTTTTGGGGAGGCTTCATGCCAACGGTGAAACTGCAAAAATGTGTATCTCTCGGTTAAGCGGTATTTCGAAACCTCCTCTCCTGATTTATTTTTAGAGGAAGACTGGACTCACATCACGGCTTTCAGTTTTCACAGAATATTCTTGAAGAAGAGAAGAAAAATCCTTGTAAATTTTCAAAAACATGACGGTCAGTAGTTTTCCGTGAAGAAAAGAAAGTATGACAGGAAGTCTGCAACGTCGCAAACCGAGATCGTGGTCTGGCAGTTTCTTCGTCAATACGATTTCCATTGTGACTATGATGGAACTGTAGCTTTGACGAGAAATGCGTTGAATAAAATCGATAGCTTTCAATTTTATACAATTCCGTGGCGTACTTTGCGATATATTGATTGATCTCATCCTGATTTCTCCATCGCCACCTCTATCACCGATTTTCCACATAAAAATGGTATTTCCAAGAGGTGATTTAACTTTCCGAAAAAAGGCGTGAGAAAAAGGGTCATTCTCGAACTCGAAAGCCTAAAATACATGAGAAAACAATGATACAGATATATAGCATGCTTGAAAAATTTCTTTTACCGCTCCTGACATGAGGGTTTTTCGGCCGAATGATATAATCAGCCCACATACACTGTGAAAAGCTCATCCACTTCCACGTACCTGACAGAACGAAAAGATCCCCCCCCCCTCCACCACTTATCTTAAGACTAATGACATCATTTCCACCATTACCCACCAATTATTCGGAAAAATTGCCTTAGATGACCGCCGAAAAGGCATCGAAAAACGAAGAGGAACTTCAAGCACCTATTTTAACTCTCCGGAGATAAAATCGCAGAGCCGATGAATTGAAGGAGTTTTCAATAGCGATGCTCGAGAAAGAGAACTCATTGGAAGTGCCGCGCCGCGCGCCTTTTCACCATTGTCGAACCCGAGCAACTATTTTAACTCTTCGGAGATAAAATTGCATAGCCGATGAATTGAAGGAGTTTTCAATAGCGATGCTCGAGAAAGAGAACTCATTGGAAGTGCCGCGCCGCGCGCCTTTCCACCATTGTCGAGCCCGAGCAACTATTTTAACTCTCCGGAGATCAAATTGCATAACCGATTAATTGAAGGAGTTTTTTTCCCCTGAGTCCCTTTTCTTTAGCTTTTCATGCTCCAATTTCTAACACGCGCTCTTATGATATGTGTTGGGAATTCTAAGATCCGATTCTGTCAGAGGGTCAAAGAGCATTTTTCTGTAAAGCTAAATATGAATTTTATAAAAGAAAAAAGTACATATTGATGGCTAAGGAACAATACTGCGTATTTGCAAATTGACGAGTTTGCAGAACAAAGAAAAGACTTCGTCATTCTTGTAATTTTGAGGTTAGATTAGCAATTTTTCCATAAATTATAGCGGTTTTACAGCGCTCTCATCTGGAATTGGGAAGTAACTAAAAACACTAGCTTGCGTCTTTTATATAATACTGACAAGGCAAAGTCGCTAACTCATTTTCGCCAAAATTTTCAGTCAGGTGGTGCTGTTCCTTAGCTTTCGATATACGAGTTGGCTCGTTTCTCAACTCGCTGCTACATTTGTAAATCGATTTATGGAGTTTATAAACTTTACGAGTTGGACCCCTGTCTGTGCGCTCGGTGTGAATTTGCATTTCAAGTTCACACCGCGGCAGGAGACCCAGGAAAAACGAGTTTAAGACGGACGTCGCACATCGGAATGAGTTGATGAGAGAAGTCCGACAAAATTTGAAAAATTTGAAAGCTTATACCTTCGAAAATATGAAACGAAAAAGTTTAAGAGCGGTCCTTTTGGTATTTCCATAAAATTTTCATTTAGAAACACCCCTTGAAATTTAAGTTATGACAAAATCAACATAAAACATCGCAATTTCAGTCAAAAATTTCATGTCTGACCTCATCGTTCCATTGTGCGCCGGGTGCCATGCTGATTCAAGTGGTCACAGAGAGGGTTCAGAACAGCGCACAATATTGCCTTGGTCAGTAAAAACGCCGCAAGAGCATTTGAACGTTGCCAAATTTCCTATCAGAAAATATTTATTGATGTAGAAAATTATGAATTTTTTTTCCTTGAAATTTTCGAACTTCTTGGAGCAAATAAAGAACGGAAGCCTCCGGAAAATCGGAAGGAAACTGTTCGCAAATTTTGCTGAAAATTCGTGATTTTCGAAAAAAAATTGGCAACGTCTGGTGGCTTATACGACGTTCTTCCGTAGCACGGAAGAGCGGTCCAAACTGATCGTGTGACGCATCCCGGCCGAGTCGTCGTCGTACGGTGTTTTCCAGCCTAGCCGTCGCGTCACCGTCGCACAGTGGATTATAAGTCAATAGGACAGGTCGGACAAATTTCGGAAACTTTGAACGCTCATAACTCCGTTAATACGAAACTTTGAGGTTCTAAAAGTTGTTCCATTGGCTTCCTCGTGAAATTTTCTTCCAGAAACACCCCTTAAAGTTTAAAATGTGACGAAATAAAGATTAAAATTTGCAGTTTTAGTCAACAATTTCATGTGCGACTTCTCTGATTGACTAGATCCACTGTGCGTCGTGTCAGCGGGGGGATTTCCGCACATATGTTTTAACGCGACTTTCGCACGGCTGACAAATCGCACAGGGAATTTTAATTTTGGATAATCCCCATGTGAAGAGCGGAAATTCGGTGAACACCATTATATGTTGTCAAGATTGTGCATGGTGTTCCTCGCCGAGAATGATCCCAAATACTCAAAATTAATAAAATTTAGTTCAAAAATGCATAAAAATATGGAAACTTGATTAAAATAATATGGAAACTTGATTAAAATTTAAACTTTAATAATAAAATGTTTTAAAATTAAAAATGGGTCATGAGACTATTTAAATTATACCATTATATTAGCACAAATTTCACGAGAAATATGAAATTTTAGAAATTCATGGAAGATCTAGAAAAATACCGGTTCCTCTTCATCTTCCGCAAAATGTAAAAAAATGTGACTTTCTTCTATTTTTGTGTGTTTGTGTGCGAGTTGCATACTCTAGCCCCTGAAAAATATGAAATCTCTCACAACCGCGTGAAATTTCATAAAATATTTCACTGAAATTTCCAATCTTTCATTTCTTTCTTACGTTTCATGCCACCCTGAGCCTGGTGCCTTTAATGGGCTATATATTGAGAAATTTCCTCTGAACTTCAATTTTATCTTCAAGACAAGAATTGATGCGCTTATTTTGGAAAGGTGCCGATTGTGAGGAAAAGATTTCAGCGGACAAGAAAAACTACACAGGGGGCGAAAAAGAATTACTTTTCCGTCAAAAACTCAATTTCGAAAAATAATCAGACTCGACATACTTTTTCGAAAGAGGCGCTTCAGTTTGTATTCTGAAACATTCGGATCCCTCCAAAAATATGGGACACAGCCACACAGTCTTAGCATCACCTGTCGCATTTTCCTAGATTTTGAAATTTAAAACCTCATGTGATGGGTTTGTTGTACGTGGGAGATAAAGCCAGCTAGATTTTGGAAAGCGTGACCCAATTTCCCTAGGGTTATATATACAGACTACTACAAGAGTGTGTTTCATGGGTCAAAATTATTATTTTTTCCTTAGTAAAGTTTTTTTCAGAAGAGCCTTCAGTTTGAATATAATCACCGAATGTTCGAAAAAATCACAGGCTTCTCTGAATTTTGGTGAAGGTTATGAGCTTTTACAAAATGGCTAAGCTCTAGTTTTTGAGAGCTGAATTCTTTGTCCTCCTGACATAAGGGCGTAACTACAAATTGAGATGAGCCCAAGAAGACATTGAATTGTATGGAAGACAGGGTTCATTGCAGAGTGTAGTTACGCCCTCATGTCAGATAGGCGACGAATTCATCCATGGCCTCAAGAATATCGAACTTGCAAGTCGAAAGAGGACTCAAAGAAGCTCCAGGATGTTCGGCGTTGGTTTCTGAGAATTTTTTCGAACTTTTTAAAAACTAAGCCCTGGATGAAAAAAAAGGAAAAAAAGAAACTTGCCACTTGCTATTAACTAATAATTTGATTATTTTACGTTCAACAACAGTGCATGGAAGGAGTATCTTCATCAAGCTTTTACCCTAAAAGTTCCAAGACCCAGGACCCTCTGAAACCTTCTGAAATCCCCCATTGATTCGAGATTTTGATATTCTTGGGTTATGGGTGAATTTAGCTTTAAGAATTGAGGGAAATAGTCAAATGGGTTTGAGTCCATACCCATCGCCAAAATTCATAAAAAAACTATTTTTTCTCAAAAAAATTGAGATACTGACCGGAGATACTTTTTGAAATAATTTTATACAATAATCAGGGCCGGATTTAGGGGGTGGCCACATAGGCCGCGGCCCATAGCGGCAAATTTAGGGGGCGGCAAATTTTGCGATTTTTGAAATGTAGGTATAAAGAAAAATTGGATTCAGAAAAACAAATACAAACGGGAAAAAGTGACAAAATCTCTCATCCTGAAAGTATATCTCTAATTTTGTCGTATTTCTGTGATACAATAGACAGCACCTTTAATTCGTCGAGTTAAGGCCAAGAGAGAAACCGAACACGGAATTTGGCCTGGAACGGCGCGGCGCAGAGAGCAATGATGATGAGAACTTGAGATGAAAAGGAGAAATCCTCGGCGCGGCGGTCGGCATGTAACACGTATTAGCGCCTACAAGACTGCATGAATACTTCACGCATTGCGTCAAAGACAGTGCGGTCGCTGCGGTTAGAGGCCCTTTATACTCAGAGTTACGACAACTCGATTATCAGCTGACTGACAGCCGGCCTTGGCTGGCCATGGAGGCCGAAACGAGTGCACCCAAACGAACGATATTGAGGGATAAGGATCAGGAATCCTGCGATGTCTGTCACACAAAAACAACAACATCAACAAACTGATCAATTAAAAATAAAATGAGATTGGTTTGTGAATAATTTCTTAATCTATCTTCATTTTGGACCGATGGAAATAACAATTTACTCTTGATAAACCACAATTAGGTAATATTTTCATTATTCTTGTTCACATACGAGGTACCGCCATCTTGGTGCACTCGTTTCGGCCTCCATGAGCGAGAACCAATCAGAATTGGATTTTTTTTAGGCCACTTTCAGCCCAACCCTGGCCCAACCAAAAGTGAGTTGTCGTAACTCTGGGTATAAAGGGACTCTAGCTGCGGTCAGCAGCGGGCGGCGTGAAACGCATAGCGCCTACAGGACTGCACGAATACTTCACGCATTGCGTCAAACACAGTGCGGTCAACGCGGCGCGGTGGCGGAAGTTAAAATTATTAAACCACGTTCATGTTCGTTCTTTCATAATTGTTTCGTTCATTTCTTATAAATGGGAGGCCTTGTCAGCACAGAGATAGGTTTATGGAACTTAACTTTCGCGGAAAAGTTCCGTGAACTTTTGCTAGTAGTGTTGACAGGACACTCGCAAAAAATTGTGTCCAACACGAGTAAACACGTCTTATGCACCCCTCCCCCTCCGGCACGTTCACTTGATGGTTTTTATTGATGTTTCGAAACGAATGCGAAGGGGGCGGCAAAATACAGGCGGCCCATGGGCGGCAAGTAAGTAGATCCGGCCCTGCAAAGAATACCTACAGCCGTATTTTTACCTAAAGAACAAGCTCTTGAAGGTCTCACCATATAACCACAGAAACCTTTTTACACCTGATTTTAATCTCGTGTATTTACCTGAGGGTATCTTGAGAAGGTTAGGTTTCTAAGGGGGAGAAAAACACGAGTGGAAAGTAGCGACGTCACAATTGAGATTCTTCGATTTCAGCTATCGTTATGCTAAATCTAATGTGATACAGTGAAATAATACAGGAAACACTGATTTATTTTATTTTATTGCGTTAAATTTTTCCTCTTTTTTTCACTTTTTCTTATCGTCGACATAAATGGCCCAATCAATGTAAAGGTCAAATTAAGATAGAATATTAAAAATAAGCACGAAATAACCGGCAAAACCTTTCCCGTCTGCATTTTGATAAACTTATAAATGGACGTATTTCTGTTAAACGGAACTATGTGCATTATGACGTGAGCCCTGTTATGCATGTATTCTTATGGGTCTCAGGGCTCATGTCTTAATGCACATAGTTCCGTTTGGCAGAAATACGTCCAAATGACCCTCAAAAAGGGCAAGATTAATTTTTTCATTGAGGAAAATATGCAGTTCTGGCTGTTCGATTCTGAATGGCCAGACCCATTCCAGAATCGAATGATTCTTTACTCGAGGGCAGTGGCGTGGCGTATTGCGATATATCGATTGTTATGCCATTTAAACCTATGGAAAAGGATCGATTAACAGGGTGTTCGCAGCGAACACCTTAATAATCGATTCTTTACCATAGGTTTAAATGGCATAACAATCGATAAATCGCAATTCAAGCCACGCCACTGCAGGGGGGTGTAAAACACAATGTATGGATCGTAGATTTGAAGTCAATGCACTTCATATTAACATTATATTTTTACGTAACAATATAATAAATAGCGTTAAGCGCCATTAAATCACAGAGTAGCTTTTGATTTGTGTCAAATTGCATGCCCGCATCAACGACACTGAAATCGTCAAAACAACACTAAATGAAAGTGTATGGCTACTTTGGACTTCTTAAAAAAGCGGCAGACTTGCGATCTAATTAAGATTACTATTAGCTTTGTTAAAAACTGATTTTACTGTTTAAAATTAACTACTAAGCTCACACAAAGCTCTCGTAGATGGGACCGCTTTCGGATTCTGTTAAAGCTGCACTCTCTGAGGTAGAATTACAAAGATAGATTCCCACTGATATAATCAGTGACATGGGGGGGGGTCTAAAAATGGGGGGAAAAACCTTACGTAATTATTCCTTGGAAAGCCGCTGATACATCGTGTTAATAATTCCTCGCTCCCAAAGGGACCCTATTTTTCCTGTTGTCATGATGGGGCAATGAGATATGCAGATAAAATTATCATAATTTAAGTGAAAGAGTAAAGTTAAAATTAAAACTACGGACAGCCAAAACTTGTTTTTCGGGTGGATTAAATCTAAAAAGGCTTAGAGATCATTTTAAAAATGAGACTTCGCTATTGATCATACATAATTTGCAATACATACTGCAAGTTTTTGAGATACCTCAACACAGCTATTTTAGATGTCTGGGGCGGGTTCCCCTCAGTATGACCCGAGTGTGACCTTCAATGCTTTTGCACTCACGTCTAGCTTTTTTAACGCATGTTTATGTACATAGCACAGGAATCAAAGCGCTACTATGTGAACACCAAAAGTATGAGTTTGCCCAGTTTTCTATGTAAGAGATCCTACATTGATGGTGAAACTCCCAGACTAAGTATCTAGTTCGCGGTGTTTTAGAAACTCTAACCCATTTTATTTGTTGAAAGGAGAGCGAATCAATATCATCCCTCGAAGTTTTCACTGAATTTTTTTCGCACAGAGAGGAAAAACCACGCGGAAATTTTTAAGATTGACTTCGAATAGTTTCCCAATTAAAAAGTAATGTATGACAGGAAGTCTTTGACGTCGCAAACCGAGCTACATGATTTGGGAATTTCACCGTCGATATGTTTCCCTAGTGCTGGGAGAAAGACATCGGGCCTTGGCCTCCAAATTATCAACGTATGATTCTATGTTGGAAAAAGAGCTTCAATCATGCGAACTGCACGCTTTTTCTGGGTCATCCGCTCTATTTTGTTCGCCAAACCGTGCCTCGGTTCGTCAAACCGTACTTTGGGTTTGTCAAACAGTACATCGGTTTGTCAAACAGTACCTCGGTTTGTCAAACAGTACCTCGGTTTGTCAAACAGAACCTCGGTTAGTCAAACAGTACCTCGGTTTGTCAAACGGTTCTTCGGTTTGTCAAACAGTATACCAGCTCGTCAAACTGCGGTTTCATGTACATCTTGCATTTGGCTAGAAGTTTGTGCTTGAGCTTATGGCCTGCTTGTGATGAGTAATGATGACGGTGATGTGAGATTTGATGGAATTGAAAGCTGATTCATTCGAGATGCGAGGAGATCCAGTCGGAGAAGAGCCTGACGTTGGTGTAGACCCCGGGGACGTTGTCGGTCCCGCAGCCGATGCCCCAAGACGTAATTCCGATCAGGTAGAACCGCTCGTCGCCGGACACTATGCAGGAAAGAGGTCCACCTCCGTCGCCCTGCCAACAAAACGGTCGTTCACGGTCAGTGGGTCACCTGAGATTTTATACACTCGGTTTGCAGCATGATTTGATGGCATAGCATCGAAATACAAGTATCGTTCAATTAAAAATCCGTTATGTCAAGAAAAAAATTCAAGTAAAATAAAAAGTATAGAAAAGGAAAACCACAACAAAAAATCTCAAAAAAGAAAGGCAAACAACACGAAAAACTACGAAAATTACTCGAAGAAAAGAGGCAGGAGTCAAGTCCAAACTTGGATATTTCCCATTAGTTGTGGTAGTCCCCGAATAAATTAGGTAAATAACCAAAATGTTGCGGTACTACCAACATTACTGAAAATGTCCATACCTATCATCCAACAAATTGGGGTGGTACCACAATTTTCGGGGACAGCCCCTGACATTTTTTTCCCGTGTAAGGCAACTATTTGTTCTTGTACAATTAACACCGTATTATACACAGTTCATATTCTGTATGTAGTATGTGTTTTACGCATTTATAATCGAACGATTTACCGATTTTTATGGGGACCAGAGCTCCGAATTTTCACCGTTTTTAAGAAAAGAAATACCAAAACTATGCACAAAGAACGTAACATATTTTGCTCGTTGATTTTTCAAATTGCCGTGTATGGAAAATTAATTTTTGTGGGGGTGGACTGAAAAGAAAATCTCCCTAGAAATGAGTTTTTTGCTGCGAATGCTGGGTCGTTAGCAGAAAATTCTCCATTTTACCTCCCGGAAAATTTGCTTAGTTATCCATGCATAGAAAAATTTACTATCTTCGGTTGTTCGAAACGTTGGCCACCAATCAGGGTACGAATTTGAAAACAACGTTAAATTTTTCCTCTTCGGAAATTTTTTTGGAGAGCGATTAAATTAATGCCCGAAAATTTCAGAAATCAACTCCACATGAAGATGTTGTCATCCACTGAACAGTTAACACTGATCCAATGAACCGCAAATTACACTTTTCCAAGTAGAAACTATTATATGTCTGGCTCATTTCAGAAACAGGAACGCGGCATTAGTTTCCCGATGCAAATAGAGGTTTCTTTTCGGTCGAGCTAGAAATATGGATTTCCTCATTGAAATACGTACTAAATCAAAAAACTGTGCAAGACGTCAATCAGTATGCGTGGTGTGCTTTGCGATACATCGATTTACCTACCATTTAAACCTAGGGGAAAAGGATCAATAAGGAGGTTGTTCGCAAGGAACAACGTAATCGATTCTTTACCACAGCTTCAAATGGGGAAATATCGATCGTCGATCCCACGCCACGCCGCTGACGTCAATGTGTTTTTTCTATTTAATTAAAGTCAATTAAAAATACCACCTCCTCCTCAACAGTCGCGGACATTTCATCGTGTAATTTTTTTTCTGCGTAGAGCGTAATGTTTTGAGTGGAATAAATGTAATGCAGTGCTTATTGCCGTGCTGAGGAAGAACGCCGTATGAGCCTTCAGACGTTGCCATATTTCTTTCGATAAGGAATGACTTTACTAGGAAAATTCTGCAAATTTTTTTTTACATAGTTTTTAAGATAATTTTTCTCGCATTTTGATTTAAAATATCTGAGAGTCTCAATGGGGAAAAACACAACTTTCCTCAAAAATTAATCTTTGATCGTGGAAGATTCGGCAACGTCTAAAGGTTCATACGATGTTTTTTCTTAGCACGGCAGTTTAGGTTTGTATCGTCCGGTGGCCCATTCCGACTGTACATACATCATAATTAATGAGAGCTATTATTTTTTTATTTTTTCCCACAGGTTTCACCACTGAAATAATTTTTTTGCTGATTTCCTTATTCGACTAGAAGAAAATAGTCCGATTTTGCGATTTTTTGTTCTTTTTTTTTCCAAGGAGGAAATGACGTTAAGACGTTCGGTTACCTGGCACGTGTCCTCATTGGAGATTCCTCCGGCGCAGTTGAAACTCTTGTCCAAAATGAAGTGATTTCCGAGTCGAGTTTTGCGGAGCTTGGATTGGCACTCGCCCGGGGGAACGTACGGCAACGAAACTTGCTTCATCACGTTTTGATACTTCGCGTCACTGGCTGCAATCACGATCACGTTGTTGAATCAAACGAGCAGATATAAATAATACCTAGAGGGGATTTTTGCATGACTTGACGACTAAACAGACGAAGAGGGAGGAGTAGAGGAGGAAGAAGAAGAAGACAGGAAAGAAGAAAAGGAAGAAGAACGGAAGGGAATAAGAAGAATAACAAAAAGAATGGAAGATGAGAAGCAGAGCAAGAAGAACGCAAAAGAAGAACAATATAAAGAAGAAGAAGACAAAGAAGTTAAAGAATAGGATGAAGGAGAAACAGCAGAAGAAGAAGAAATTGAAAGAAAAGGAGCAAAGAAGCAGAGAAAGAAGAATGGGGATCATTTTTATTGCTTCATCTAAGAGCGCATAAAGAGCTGATTTCGCAGTATTTGTTTTTTAATTTTTTCGGATGTTGGAAACAGTATAAAAATAGATTTCAAAGTGAGAAAATGCCCCGTCTAGTGACGTCATCTGGCGGCATTTCCCATTTAAACACAAGTATTTTAGAACATTAGATAATTTTTCATACCTCCTCCAATAAATGTTCAATTTATGGACCAAGGATATCCTCGTGTTCAGTTCACTCAGTAATTTTCTTTTATGAACACAAAATTCATCAAATATCAGACACCTTCAAATTCTCAATTGAGAGGATTTCTTTTTAATCGCATATTTGCCCTCTTTTTCTCCATCCTCTTCTTCTCCTTCCTCTTCTTATTCTTTTCTTTCCTCTCCTTTTTTTTCCTCATAATCTTCCTTTTCATCCGAATATTGACGCTTCCTTCTCCGAATTATGATAGGAGTCCAAAGTCATTGCATATACATCTTTTCTCAGAACTCAGCATGTGGATATGTGCCTACCCTGGTAAAAATTGGCGATAAGAGCTGCGTTTCAAAATACCATTAGAATTCTTATAGCCGGCTAAAGAAGGCTACAGAAAATCATATAGCTGGCTGTAGAATGCGAAGAAAATCATACGGCCGGGCTATACGAAGCGATAAAAAATTATACAACCGGGTTATAGTTCCTATCGCCGGGCTTTACACTTTATCGCCTGGCTGTTGCTTTTTTGCCATCGATTATAAAAGGCTATAAGAAATTGTGTAGAAATTCGTGTGCTTTGGAAATCATTAAGTTTGATACGGAACCACCTTAATATTTACAAAACACACATTATATTTTCCTTTAATACATATTTTTTTTTCATCAATTAAAATGAGAATAATCCTTACAGGATGTGCAAACATTTCAAAATCATGAGTTGAATAACGCTGACTCCGCCAGATTAAATATTAGAGCCTAACACAAAGCGGAGCGGCGACGCACTGGCGCCTACAAACCTAACAGGGATACTTCACGCATTGCGCAACGCGTGAAGTATCCATGTTAGGTTGTTAGGCGCCAATGCGTGTTTCGCGCTGTCTGCCCGCCCGCGGCGCTTGAAGCAACTATCTCACACCAGAGGTATTGCACAGTATCATACGAAATTGAAGGCGCTCCAACATATTAGGAATGACAGGCATCCTTCAAAAGTACGGAGCTTCCCTCGCAAAATAAATCAAGATAGGTACTACGGCCCAAAAAGAGAGCAGTATTCCAAAAACTTAGTAAGTCCTAGCATCCGTAATTAGTAACGTTTAGCATACACTTTATCGCCTGGCTGTTGCTTAATCGCCATCGGCTATAAAAGGCTATTGGAATTATCTAGCCGGCTATAGAAGGTATTGGAAATCTTACAGCCGGCTGTAGGTCTATGGTATTTTGGAACACAGATTCTACTGCCAATTTTTACCAGGGTACTGCTGCATTCTTGCTGATGGAGAATTTGCAGAAGTCAGAAGTTTGATGATTTTCATTTATAAGTGGAAACTATCTATGATGTATTGGAAAATAAGCGTTCATTTTAAGAAAAATATGCATGATTTCTTAAAATATAAATGTTTAACAGGAGAAATTCGGCAACACTCGAATGTTAATACGGCGTTTTTATAGCACGGCAGCATATCAAGCAGGAACCTTTTTGATTCCAGGGATCTTATTTTTAGTTCTAGAGAAAATCTTTTCAACAACTAATGGACTAAACTTTGCAATTGAATCGGCTCGTGCGAAAACCGCTAATGTCCATTTTTTTCAATTTTGAGATTTTTGGGTTAAAATACCCTCGGAGGTCAGACACACTCATTAATGTAGTGAAAATGTTTGTTCCTTAGGTTTGAAGCCCTTTTCAGGGGGAGCCGTGGTCCGAATCATGCGAAAACCGCTAATGTCCATCTATCGTTGTATGCCTCATTACTGTACAACAAACCAAAATAAAAAAATGTCTCCTGGACGACATTAGGTGATCTTTATGCATTTTAAGGCGCTGAATCCGAATATGACCTCCGTTTTTTTCCATCACCCTCCAATTTTCCGGAAAAGCCGATTTTACTCGGAAAAATGATTATTTTTGGGCATTTTCGGTGATTTTCCGACTGGTATCCCGACTGTTAAATTGGAGGGTGATGGAAAAAAACGGAGGTCATATTCGGATTTAGTGCCTCACAATACGTAAGACTAACCGTATTTTTCCCGAAAGGCATACTGAAAAATATGCGTTTTCGATGTTTTAGAACCGTCCACGCACAAATCATGCGAAAACCGCTAATGTCCAGTTTATTGCTGGGAGTTTAGTGGCGAAACTTATTTTAAATACCGCAATTGTCCGGAATTTCATTTTTTAAACCTTATGTGAATGATAATCTACCGCTTTAACATCTTTAGAATGAATTTTGAAAATATCAAACGGCTCCAAAACTCGGCGATTTTTACGTATCATGCGAAAACCGCTAATGTCCAGAGTCCTTTCTTTTTAATTACTCCATTCCAGACAGAAGAGGAGGTGGAAACTGTTAGGGATCCTTTTCTACAATCCACTCTTGTAATAATCAACTTCTGAACATTTTTTAATCCCGCATTTAAAAGGCTTCTACAGTTTTTTGCAGTTTACTCAAAATAAGAGAAAATGGACATTAGCGGTTTTCGCACGAGCCGATTCAATTAGGAACTGCAATTTCTAGTTTAGTTTAATTTAAGAACAACGTATGTACCATTACTTTCCCATAAGCGTTCTTACGGATTTCCTGGAAATCTTAATTTGTAAGATGCAGTCCAATTTCAAGTCACTATATATTCAGTGCACACTGAAAGAATAAAAGTTACGGGTTGTATAGACATACCGTCCGTTCCGGGCTCAAAGACCGAAACTTCCGGGTGCTAGAGCCGTAGCTTCGATTTCTCCGGGTACTAAACCCGGAACTTTCGGACTCTGAGCCTGGAACGCGGACGGTGTGTCTTTATAGCCCGTAAGTACGGCTTCCATGGCCGAAGTTTTTTTTAAGTGCAAACTTTGGTTAAAACAATATTGCCTCGCAGGCGGGAGGTTACATCACAGAACTTACAGAAGGCGTCCTTGCCCCAGCCGGTAGCGATACAGCTAGCAGGGTCAGGGGAGCTTTCGCCGGGGAGGCACACAAGACCGACGTTATCAGCGAGGGTGAAGGGGGCAGTTAGTTTGAGGAGAGCCACGTCGTTGTGGAGGGTGCCGTTGTTGAAGCGGGGGTGGAGAATCAGCTCAGCCACCCGCTGCTCCTGGTAGGGTAGGATCTCGGCCGCGTTGTTTTGCCGTGTGTCCCATTCGCCAGCTCGCACCTTCAAGTCCGAGCCTCGCACGTTACTGAAAACCAGCATGGAAATTCAAGTTACTCCAGCAGGCAATATGACCATGCTGCCGTGTTAAGGAAAAACGCCGTATGAGCCTTCAGGCGTTGCCAAATTTCCTCTGGTAAATCACTAATTTTCAGAAACATTTTTGAATATTTTTCTGCCAATTTCTCAGATAATGGAGATGTTGCATGTGTGAGGAATTTGCGATTTGACCACTGATTCTTATGTGAAAGTTCGCGAGAAACACGATGATGCCACTGGTTTTCTCTAAAATCAACTCCCAAGCTCAAAAAAAGCTCTCAAGTTGAGACCAAAATGGAGGGGATATCCCACCCTACCCTGAGAGTCCACCTTCACGCAAAGATAGGGAGCAAATCCATTAGCAGGGTTGCCGTGTTCTCAGTTTTGGAGTCCCCAAATAAAGTGGCAGCCCTGTCAATGTATTTGCTCTCTATCTGTGCATGGAGAGTTTGTCTTGATGTAGATGTGGACTCTCAGGATAGCGTGGGATATCCATATCCCCTCCATTTTGGCCTCACTTTGAGAGCTTTTTTTGAGCTTGGGAGATGATTTCAGAGAAAACGAGTGGCACCATCGTGTTTCTCGCGAACTTTTACATAAGAATCAATGGTCAAATCGTAAATTCCTCACACATGCAACGTCTCCATTTTGTTTGTAACTTGATCTGAAGTGTCTGAAAATCTCAAGAACATATTTCCATAGCTTATTTCCTCAAAAATGAACATTTTATCCAAGGAGATTTGGCAACTCTCGAATGTTCATACGGCGTCCTTCCTTAGCACGGCATCATGAAGGGAAAAAAGTCGGACTTGAAGTAATAATAACTATCAGAGGGTGGAGTACTTTTTAGTGATAGTGTGGCTGCTGGAGGATCCATTTCTGATTTCTTCACCTATTTTGGGCCTCATGAAGCCTTTTGGGACGAAGGATATTGTACGTTGCTTGGAGATTATTCAAAATCGCAGAGAATGAGGCTTTATTTAATTTCCGCTTCTCTTTTGTTGTGTCATATAATAACGCTAACTTCATGGCTTGAAATCATAAAGTACATAGAGTCGTAATGTAAGTGGGTGAGCTAGCGCCACTTTTAAGCATTTTCCAGGTCCCGAATTCCGAGACTCCTGTGTGACGCCGGGTCACTTTTTCGATACATAATCGATTGTTTGCGATACACGGGTACCCGGCCATCCGATGTAAACAAAGAAGATAGGAATCACCACGTATTCCACACCGCCATTATGGATCGAACATGTATCGAAAAAGTGACCCGAACTCGGCGCACACCGGGCTCGGAACTCATCGAGCAGAACATGGCGCCAGCTCTGCCATTTACATTACGACTCTATGCTTGAAATCTTTACGGAGTAATCTGGTAACTGAGGAGAAAAATCAAGGAGCAGGTTTTCAAGAAATTACTTTGACCAGTTTTTCAAAGAAAAAATGAAGTATGACCCTGTCGCTAAAGGAGCTACCTGGTTTCGGAGAAACGTGGTTCTCCAGTAAAAATAAAAAGTTTCGTCATCATGACATTCTGAACCGTTGATTTGCTCTGATTTCTTAATAATTTATGAAAGATGTACTCACTGGACGCAATGAGCAGCCGTTATGGCGACTGATGGCTGGATGAGCGATGCACCGCAAAGGAAAGCATTATTGGTGACGGATCCGTCGGCTAGGGTCTCTGACTTCAGTATTACCAACGTCCATGGATACTCGCCGAAGTTGGTCAACCCATCACCTATCGAAAACAAAATTGCTAAAGTAGGTAATATGTCCAATGAAATGTGACTCAGCAGGGCAAAATGTGTGTTTAGTACGGAGGACTTCATTCCGGCCTAACACCCACTGTACGTGTCTTCTTGCGTGCGGAAGGATTCAGCGAGCCTTCATTTTATTAGGTATGCAACACCGGCAGCACTCCAGCAGGAATGATTGCATCAAGGCGTCGATATAAATATCATGTTTGTATGCGATCAGTAGCCTGGTGGAAGCACTGAGTTTGGGCATATTTTAACAAGGCTAAGACGCAATTTGATATCGAAAAGTATCCTCTAAATTTTCTGTATGAGGTATACTCTGCCGTACTGAGGAAGAACGCCGTATGAACATTTAAGAGTTGCCAAATTTCCCTTAATAAAACATGTTTTTGGACGACATTCATGCATATTTCTCTTTGAAATTTTCAGAGATTTTAGATTAAATTGCGTACAAAATTGCCTGAAAATTTTGGAGAAAAATATTCACAATTTTCCCAGTAAATTCTGTTTTTATCGAAGGAAATTTGGCAACGTCTGAAGGCTCATACGGCATTCTTCCTTCGCACGGCAGTGTTCTCCGTCTAAGTCTAAGCTTTCCGTAGATCATGTGAAAATGAAGATATGCTATTACTTCAGAGGAGCGATACGTGAAATGATATCGGAAAAGAGGCTTCAAATAATTTTCATAGAATGGAAATAACTTATTGCTTTTAGAAACTTATCGCTGAGTATTATACGCTTACCTCCTGTTTGAATTCGATTGATGCTGAAGTCGATGTTCTTATTACGGGTGCCACAGGTCCTCAGTCCTCCATCAGGAGTTGGCGAAGGGGGAGTGGGGCTAAAGCCACCTGCAAAACTCGGATGACAGCAGAGTACCTCATCCTTCTCACAAGGTATCCTGATGAAATGAAGTGATAAAATAAAAGGACGAAATAACATTCCAAACTCTTCAGACTGTCGTTCTTAGACTGGAACCTCCGAAAGATGAGATCGCATTGAAGTGTTCAATTTAAATATTATTTAATCATATCTAAAAATTTGCAGGTGGAGGGAAAAAAAATTCAATTTGTTCAAGAAACACGGAAAAAATAGGTACCTATATGGTTTAGGGTCCAATTTGATTAGGGAGCTTAAAATTGGACGTATTTCTATCAAACAGAACTATGTGCATTATGACGTGAGCCCTGTTATGCACATATTCTTATGGGTCTCAGGGCTCATGTCTTAATGCACATAGTTCCGTTTGGCAGAAATACGTCCAATTGTGATACTATCCCAACAAATTATGGTTAGTAACCCAACTGTTGCGGTGCTACCACAATTAATTGGGAATGCCCTTATCATCCAACAAAATGGGGTAGCATCACAATTTTAGGGGATTATCCCTGCCTATTTTTTTTCGTGGAATACCAAAATATATCAATACCAAATGGACTGAGTTAAGCAGAAAGGAACCAACCCACATTTTGGAAAAAAATGAGTTATGAGTGGTTTTGAACTCAACCACTGCTCTACTATCTATCGCCAAAAATTCAAAGTTTTTGTTGGAGCAAATTTTGCAGAAATTGAACTTGAAGTTTAACTTTTACATTGAGTCTTATGCAGGAGCTAAACTTTAAGCCTCTTTTTCTCGGTTCGATCCCGATGTGGCTTGGTTCCTTTCTGTTTAACTCCGTCCAAATATCAGAAACGACATTTTTTTAAAAATACAACTTCGCAGGACTTAAGTCTTCGGACGAAACAACCGAGGTTTTTGTTCATTGGAACCGACCTTCGATCTGTGTGATCAAAGTTTTTGTCAGCTGTATGGGAACTTAACTCTTTGCCAAAAGTTTGCTTATCTGGCCTGAAGTTCGGTTTCTACCACCGAAAGCTTCAGTTACCTGAGTCAAAATCTTTGGTATTCCATATGAACTGAGGCTCAACCTTGTGACCGAAGCTTTCTTCTCGGTCCAGAAAAAGGGACATTACAGCCAAAAAACATAAAATTTGAATGGTAAGTCTGAGTGTCGGCAATTATTTTTCAGGAATATTAACTCGATACATTATTCGCAGAAACGACAAACGCTTTCCAGTGCCGCGCAGATTTTACGATTTCATAGGTATGCAATTTGTAGCAAATTAAGTATATAAACGCACACAGTACAATCTAACGTTTATTGAAGTATGGATAAGTCTAAGTATACGTTGGATTTTTGGGATGAAATTTCCGGTAAAGCCTTTACCCACTAGTAGCATTTCTCAACGGAAAAATCGCTATAGATTGCGATTTTATCGGCGATAAAATCGCGAGGATCATTAACATCTGAGTGATTATCCTCGATCTTATCGCGATGAAATCGCGCTTTTATCGCCCGACAATTTATCGCGATATTTTCGAAATAAAACTCGCGCTAAATGGCGATTTAATCTCGCTTTTATCGACAAAAATTGATCACGATTTTATCGAACCCAAAATTGTAATTTTTAGCGGTTTAATCCGCAAGTATCCCGATTTTTAATGCGATAAAATTTCGATATATTGCCACCTATATAATCGCGTTAATCAACCGATAAAATCGCTATTTATCGCGATCACTGCTACTTGGGTATATCGCCTAATTGCAATATCAAGCAACAAGTCCTACAATCTGAGTAGCATTGCCAAACTAACCTATTCCTAACACGTCGTCTTTGAATTTTTGTTAAGTGACTCATTGATCAATCCGAATTTAACAAAATTTTCTGTTGGCTTACCTTGGTTTTATGATGCCTTTTCCAGCTTGGAAAACTTCCGAGTCGTTTTTACCACACTGATAGGCGGCCAGGCAAATGCACGGTGTGGGAGTGGAGTTCGGGTTCTGAGGCTCACCATTGCCGTTATTAGTGTTTCCACTGTTGTTGTTGTTTCCATTTTCGTTATTATTGCCATTAGCACCATTGTTGCTGTTGGCACCGTTGGAATTGTTGTTTCCACCACTGTTATTGTTGCCACCATTGTTACTGTTACCGCCACCGTTGTTACTGTTGGTATTTTTGTCCACCAGACAGCATACATTCAGTCCCGTACATTGCTCGGGTCTGGCAAACAAAATGAGTAATCAGGATGAACTAGACGATTTATTCGGCAGTTAACGAAAAACCATATCTGTCCAAAGACAAAGAATTTGACAGAAACATATACTTATGAATAAATTAGATAATCTGATGGTATGTTTAAAATATTCTGTATGCAAATTTCCATCAGATTCTGTCTGAAGTCTTCTTAAACTTAACTCCGTGTAGTTTGTCTTGTTTAATCAAATTTTTAGAGCAATTTAACCAGCACTAATGAAAATTTTAACGTCAGACAAAGAATCAATAAGGTAGTGTATACATGCGTCAAAAATGACATCGTATTCGACATCATGGCCAAACAGCTCCCTGGTAAAAATTGGCAGTATATATGATCTCTGTGTTCCAAAATACTTTAGACCTGCAGCCAGCTGTAAGATTTCCTACAGCTTCTATTGACAGGCTATAAAATTTCTTACAGCCTTTCATAGCCGATGGCGATAAAGCCACAGCCAGCTACAAATCCCGACGATAGGATTTATAAGTAACATTTTTTAACGGAAAAATCGCAATATTTTGCGATCAAAATACAATTTGATGAAATTTTGTGAGACTCTTTCAGCAAGATAAAATTTATGCTCCGAATAAAATTTCATGAAATTTCACTCCGTAGAATCGGTGCTCCCATCCCCCAAAACTAGTCCCGAATTGCTTATAACTCTTGAGATTTACCTGGATTTTTTCTGGAACTTTTAACATTTCCTAAACGTTCTTCTGCATATTCCGGAACATTCTAGGATCTTCTGCATATATTCCGGAACTTTCTAAGATCTTTTGCATTTACTGGAACTTTTGCATTTTCCGGAACTTTCTAGGAACTTTTGAACAAATTTAATATGAATCCCGGAACTTTTGAAGGTCATGGAATGGGAGGTATTGGAGCAAAAAAGTTCCGTTTCCCGGAACTTTTGACGGACACGGAATGGGAGCACTGCGTGGAATTGAATTTTGCATCTACACTGAAGAAAAATTCTCGGCGTTTTTACCACGGTCCGTTGGTGCCTTTACCATCTCACTTTTTTTTACCAATTATTGGTAATTTTACAAAGACAGACTAGTAAGCTTACCGAAAAACCGGTATTTTTACTGTTTTTTCAGGTTAGAATACCACTTTTATTGGTAATCGATTCCCGGTAACTTTGCCATTTTATCTCGGTACTTAACTCTACCACAGTCGAAAAAAAATATCGGCGTTTTTACCAAGGTCCAGTAAAATTACCGAGAAAGTTCAATAATTTTACCGAGATTTCTCGGTAAAATTACCAATTCCATAAATGGTAATTTTACCAAGAAAAAACTGGGATCAAATGGACGTATTCCTATCAAACGAACCTAAGCGCCATAGGGTGAGGATGGTAGAGGGGGGCTTGGATTGGCGGCGGAATCGGGCGTCCGGCTTATTCCGTCCTATACTCGCAATGCTTTTCCATGGCGCTTAGGTCCGTTTGACAGAACGCGCTATCCGGGATTCCAAATTCCTCAAAAGAAACTCAAATTGGCGCTTAGTTCCGTTTGAAAGAAATACGTCCAAATAGAACCCTGAATGGACCACTAGACAAGGTACGAATTTCAGCATTCTGATACATGTGTCTTCGCCAAAATTTCACGTGAAACACGATGCGCACAACGAAAATTACCGAAATCAACTCCTTACGAAGATATTTAATGATTCTTGATGCGTGAATTCAAACCACCCGCTCATGAAAACTCAATGCTCTACGTGATTCACATCGCGCGCTAAACGTTATCATAAACGTCTCTGTGATAAAAAAAAAATCTGGCAACCTCAATCTTGACGCTTTGGCTCAGCTATAGCAAATTTCTTATAGTTTGAAAAACATCTGGCGAGAAATGAACATTGCTCGATTGAGAAGCTTGCTGAAACCGTTGTAGTGCGCGATTTGACTCACGTAGAGCTTTGAGTTTCTTGTGAGCGGGTAGTTCAGATTCCTCGTAACCAATGTGAAATAAAAACGTTAATATCTTCGTTAGGTGTTGGTTTCAGTAATTTTCGTCGTGCGAATCGTATTCTACGTGAAATTCTGGTCAAGAAACATGTATCAGATTGCTTAAATTCGTACCTTGTCTAGTGGTCCATTCTTGGTATTTTTACCCTTTTCTTAGTACATACAACGAGATTTTTTTTTCAGTGTACTCTTTAGGGAAAGCACAGAACTTACCGCTCCTCGATCTGACGCCTGGCGCGGAGCTTGAAGATGGTGGTGTCGACGGTGTTGCCGGCGTCGCAGTCGTAGTAGGGCACGCACTCGCAGGTCCCTCGGGACGTCTCGATCCGCTGGACGAGGGGCGGGGGCGCGGGGGAGGAGGCCCTCCCGCGGGGCCCGCCGGCCCCGGCCCGCCGCTGGGCCCCGCACGCGAACACGCACAAGAAACCGGTCACCAGCGCAGCATGGAGCTTCATCGCGGCCGAGCTTCCACGACTGACACTCGCGGCGACGCCGACGCCGATTCGCCGGACGACTTGACCGTCGCGGCGCGGCATTGCCGATTCGCCGGTAAAATCATTGGATTTTGAATCACGGTAGAGATTGACCGGTTTTAATGTGAAATTGATTTGGGGTGTTTAGCATATTGCATAGGTATCAAGGGGAAATTGGGCCGTTTTGCTTTTTCGCTTACTTTTAAATGATGAATCCAAACGGTACTGCCATCATATGTTTTAGATGTCTCATTTTATTTTTGTTATCTATTTATTTATTTTTTTATTATTATTAGTAGGCACACTGGAAAAAAAACACATTGGATCTAGAGTCCAGACTCTTGAAAACATTGACAAGAAAAAATACTCTTGATTCAATCAGATTTAAGCTTAAATCAAAAGGAAATCCGCTCAAATTAAGAGGCTTGGTTCTTGTTTTAAGCTAAATTCTGATTGAATCAAGAGTACTTTTTCTTGTCGATGTTTTTAAGAGTCTGGACTCTAGATCCAATATGTTTTTTTCTTTTTTTTCCAGTGCTTACTTTTAAGATCTAGATACACGCTCAAATTTCCGTCAATTTCCGATCAAAATGATGACGCAAAAGGCGGTCAAATGTTTGCAGGCCGCAAAAATTTGATGGTAGACGGTGCGCACCATTCACCATTTGATCGGAAATTGATGGAAATTTGAGCGTGTATCCAGGCCATTAAATGGTGAATCCAAACGGCACTGCCATCATATGTTTTGAATGTCTCATTTTATTTTTATTATTTGTTATTATTATATTTTCCTTGGAGTATTAATACCTATTAATAGTATTATACCTAGTGAGTTTTTTTTTTGGATTGGGCCGAAATTTTGCACAAAAATTTAATTTCTATTTTTTGAGGACTTTGAATTACGGTAGATATTGACTAGTTTTAATGTGAAACTGATTTGGGGTGTTTAGCATATTGCATAGGCATCAAGGGGGAAATTGGACCGTTTTACTTTATCGCTTACTTTTAAATGATGAATCCAATCTAAGCACATATTCGAAATTTCGGATATACAACACGGGAATCTATTGAGCAGCACCAGCTACAGAGTTACATACAGGCGCATCGAGGCATTGCACCGAAGTCACATCGAGTGCCTCCAATTTTTCGGCTATGCAACATGGACATCCATCCAGCTGATATAGTTGCAACTAGGCAATGACAGCACTACGGACGATGAAGTTTTTCGTCTAGAAATTCATTTATTTTTCGGCATTTCTGTTGAAATTGAGAGCACGCAGTACAGACTGTTTAACTGCGGTTAATCTAAAACATATATAAATGGTCCATGGTAAAAAAAATAAAACATGCAACATCGTACGCTAATCGATGGAAGGTCAATCACACCAACGCTTTTTACTGATTATTTAAGGGAAAACCTGTTGATACTAACTCTCGGTGGCAGACACTTCTTCTCTGCCTATTCTTCATCATTTTCTTCTTCTTCTTCTTCTTCTTCTTCTTCTTCTTCTTCTTCTTCTTCTCCTCCTCCTCCTCGCCCTCCCCCTCCTCCTCCTCGTCCTCCCCCCCCTCCTCCTCCTCTTCGTGTGTTCAGTCATCGTTGCGCCAGGCACGTATAAGAAATACATGAAATTAAATGAGAATTTATTTTTAAAAACAGATGATAAAAAATAAATGAATAAATAAATGGGATGAATGGCAAACTGTATAAAAGCACGTTCATCCTGTGCGAACCATGGCAACACTGGATGGATGGATGGACGAAGCGGGAAATACGCCAGATATGTAAACCGGCCGACGAAGACTGTTGATTAGGAGCATCAAGGTTAATCTTAACATCTCAAACTCTGAAACTGCCAAGTTGTTTTGCTTAAAAATGAGGTGCCTTTGAGTTATTAGTCTCTTTTGATGTACCTAGTCGATGGAATTCTAAAGCTTTTGGACTCACAGATATTCTCAACATGAATATTGATTTTTGGCCTCCCACAAATGAATGTATCTCATCGACAAAAACTTAGAATTGGGTATAGTTGCCGCTATATGAAGCCTTGAGATAATAGTGTTTTATACAAATGGACCACTAGACAAGGTACGAATTAAACGATTCTGATACATGTTTCTTAACCAAAATTCCACGCAGAACACGATTCGCTCAACGAAAATGACTGAAACCAACTTTTTACGAAGAAATTAATGTTTTTATTTCACATTGGTTACAAGGAACTCGAACTGCCCGCTCACGAGAAACTCGAAGCTCTACGTGAGTCAAATCGCGCACTACAACGGTTTCAGCAATCTTCTCAATCGAGCAATGTTCATTTCCCACCATGTGTTGTTCCAAATTACATGCGATTTGCTATAGCTGAGCCAAAGCGTCAAGATTGAGGTTGCCAGATTTTTATATCGCAGAGACTGTCATGATTAACGTTTAGCGCGCGATGTGAATCACGCAGAGCATTGAGTTTTCATAAGCGGGTGGTTTGAATTCACGCATCAAGAATCATTAAATATCTTCGTAAGGAGTTGATTTCGGTAATTTTAGTTGTACGCATCGTGTTCTACGTGAAATTTTGGTTACGAAAAATGTATTAGAATGCTGAAATTTGTACCTTGTCTAGTGGTCCATTCTCCCTGGTAAAAATTGGCGATAGAAGCTGCGTTTCAAAATACCATAGGAGTTCTTTTAGCCGACTGAAGAAGGCGATAGAAAATCATATAGTAAGCAGTAGAAAAAGGAAAAAATTATACGGCCGGGCTATAGTTCCTATCGTCGGGCCTTACACTTTATCGCCGGGCTTTACACTTTATGGCCTNATTTAAGACCGTGCAACATTTGGTTTTGTCGATTTAAAAAAATAAGTCCCACCCTACGGCCGGGCTATAGTTCCTATCGCCGGGCTTTACACTTTATCGCCGGGCTTTACACTTTATGGCCTGGCTGTTGCTTTTTCGCCATCAGCTATAAAAGGCTATGAGAAATTGCGTAGGAATTCGTGTGCTTTGTAAAGCCTTAAGTTTGTACGTAATCACCTTAATTGCAAAACGCCCATTTTATTTTCCTTTACTACATATTTTTATTCATCAATTAAAATGAGAATAATCCATACAGAAAGTGCAAACATTTTAAAGTCATGATTTGAAAAACGCTGACCCCACGAGATTAAATATTAGAGCCTAACACAAAGCGGAGCAGCGGCGCACTAGCGCCTACAAACCTAACAGGAATACTTCACGCATCGCGCAATGCGTGAAGTATTCCTGTTAGGTTTGTAGGCGCCAATGCGCGTTCCGCGCTGGGTGCCCGTCCGCCGCGCCGCGCCGCGCCGCGCCGCAGCGAACCACGGCGCTTGAAGCAACTATTCCACACCAGAGGTATTGCACAGTATCATACGAAATTGAAGGCGCTCCAACATATTAGGAATGGAAGGCATCTTTCAAGAGTACGGTGCTTTCCTCGCAAAATAAATCAAGATACTACGGCCAAAAAAGAGAGCGGTAGTCCAAAAAACTCACTAATTCCTAGCATCCGTAATTAGTAACGTTCAGCATACACTTTATCGCCAGGCTGTTGCTTAATCGCTATCGGCTATAAAAGGCTATAAGAAATTGTGTTGCCGGCTATAGAGGGTATTGGAAATCTTACAGCCGCCTGTAGGTCTATGGTATTTTGGAACACAGATTCTACTGCCAATTTTTACCGGGGTCATCGACAAAAACTCAGAATTGGGTATAGTTGCCGCTATATGAAGCCTTGAAATAATGTGTTTTACACAAATTCTGACTTAAAATGTCTAATGGCACTGGTTCATATCGACGCGGTGTTTGGAATAATCTATAGGTAGAAATATTTAAAGAAAAAAAAGAAAAAAATGTTCCAGTGATATCTAGATATCTATCACGCTGATTCTTACGGATTTTTTTGGAGTGTAGCGATGCGTTTGAGGATTTTCACAATCTTATCAGATTCGAGCCTTTTAAATTTCTCGATTTTAAAAAATAAGGAAGGTTTCGTTAACGTGTAGTGGAGGTGATGCAGTCCGGTTTCCTCTTTATTGCTTTGCGCGGTCATTTACTTTCAGCACCCGCCTCCGCTACCGACGAAGTCGTGAAAATTTCTTGGATCCAATATTTTTGAGGTCTCATGTGGAATCAACTGGTTAAGATAAATGGTTAGTAAATGGTTTACATTTGCTTTCGATCCTGGTTTCCGAGGAGGAATTCCTCAGGCAGGCTTGGCTGTGCAAAATTTTAATGAATATGTTTGTGAGAGTTTTTTTGAAAACCCAAATACCTAAACAAAGAAAAAATTGAGAAGAGACATTTACTTGCTTTTTGTTAGCGCTTTACCTGGAATTTAATGCGAGAACTTCAGGCCAGCTTCTTTTAAATGCTTCATCATTGATTCGTTTTTATTTGAACTTATTCCACTGGTGCTGCGATTGGATGATTCTGAACCAATCAGTAACATAAGACTTATTTTCTAATAGCTTTGGGTCCAGAGGCGGATCCTGCAATTTGGCAACACCGGATTCCTCCATTTAAACCTAGGTAAACAATCGATTCTTGTCGGAGCACCTGGCCCCTCCAAGAATCGATACATTTCTATAGGTTTAAATGGAGAAAAGTAATGGTGCCAATTTGCTGGATCCGCCAATGTTTGGGTCCTGCCGCACCGGGCTCTAAATTAACAAAAGGTTGGTTTACATTTCTGACAGGACTTTTCTCTAACTCTGCTGCAAAATAAAAATAAGAATATATTGAACAGATAAATTAATAAGGCCTTTTTACTACAGATAAATTAATAAGGCCTTTTTACTTTGAAGTAAATCTGTCTTTTTCTTTCTCCTTAATATTATAAAGGTAGTACTTTTTATAAAATGTAACTAGAATTAGTTTAATATTATTTAGACAATTAAGACAAGCTTTTAAAAGACTTATATGAAGTCTAAAAGTGTTTATTGTACAAAATTTCTATTGTGCAAATTAAAAAAAAAAAAAAAAAAAA